CACTTGGTGCAGGGGTGGCTCATTGGCCCCTTTGTCAGTGACCATGAACCCATGGGTGAGCTTGCTCTGTCTAATGTGTCCAAGGCGGTCTGTGATGCCAGCTTTGTTGGCATCAGCTGTGTGGCACACAAGTTCCACCTCATTGTCAGGGACACCTTGGATGGGGACAGGGCTGCCAGTGACAGCACCAGCAGCACCGGCAAGCTCATTTCAAAATGCAGGAAGGAGGTAGGCTACTTTCACCAGAGCATCAATCAAGGCAAGATGCTGTGGGACAAACCAGCAGAGCTGAACATCCTGTAATGCAAAATCATGCAGGATGTGGAGACTTGGTGGAACTCCACATACCTGATGCTTGAGAGGCTGGTGGAGCAACAGAAGGCCATCCATGAGATGTCCGTGCTCAGGGACATTGGGATCAGCAGCCCCCTTAACAAAGCTGAGTGGAATACCATCTCCCAGATCTTGGTGGTCCTCAAACCCTTCCTCAAGGCCACTGGGACCCTCAGCACTGGCGATGCCTGTAGTGAGGGAGCTTCAGAGCCAAATGGAAAGCTTCCAGGGGATCAGTGTTCCTGGATGGGGCAAGCTGCTGTCACCAGAAATCTAAGCACTGGTGAAGCAGCTGAAGGAGGGCATCAGAAAGTGGCTTAATCCCTTGTGGTCCAGTACGGTCCATGTGCTGGTTGCTGTGTGTGACCCCAGGGTGAAGGGCAGCCAAAGCCTGAATCAGTGGATGGAGGTGCTGGTGAAGAGAGTCAGGAAAGCAGAATGGCAGAGGCGGGGAGATGTGGAAGAGGGGGATTTACTGTCCTATGCTAGCATGCAACCCACCAGCCAGTCTCCTCCTCCACCACAGGTGCTGCCAATGTAGGCCAAGGGCGTGGCTTCTATGGTAGGGTCCAGAGGCACCAGACCCCACCATCAGGTAGGTAGCGCTCAGACCTTGGATGCCTACCTTGCCGAGTATGTGGAGCCACTGCTGTGCAACCCCTTGGCCTACTGGACAAGTCACAGCCAGATGTGGCTGGATCTGGCCATGGTTGCCCGTGAATACCTGTCCTGTCCACAGACCAGTGTTCTGAGTGAGAGGGTGTTCAGCATTGCTGGGGATGTAGTGACACCCCATCGCATCTGCTTGGATCCTGGTTTGATGGAACAGCTGGTGCTCCTCCAGGTGAACCTCCCACTGCTGGGGTTCTCCAAGCTCCAGGTGCAGACAGAGTGAATGCCACCCTCCTCACTCCATCCACACCTATTTCCTTTTTTCATTTTTTTAAAAAAACATTTAATGCGCCACTCTCAGAACTGGAGGGGGCACACACTGCATCACCAGCCAGCAGGGGAAGAACATGTCCCTGCTGAGCTCCTGTGACAGGACAAACTTGGAGGTATGGCCTAGGGCTATGGGGAAGGAGAAGGCCCCAGGTCCTGGGCATGACCACTAAAACTGCAGTCTGCCAGAGTCGGGAGGCCTGGTGGGACTGCTGGCAGCACAGCAGCCCCAGGAAATGCCAGGACCGAGGATCCCCCGGGTGAAAAGCAGACGCTATAACCACCAGCCACCACACGCCTGCACGCAGTCCTGGCTGGGGAAAACCTGGACCAGTCATGTCTTTGACAGGCCTGAGGCTTGCTGGTTGCAGTGGAGTTTTGAGGCTCCAGGTGAGCTGAGCTTGGCTGCCTGGAATGCCAGCTTTTGGGTTGAATAACCCTTTATCAGGCTGAGGAAACACCTGCAGTTGGTGTGTATGCTCTTCCTGGATGGAAGGAATAGTAAAGAATCCAGAGGCTGGCATACAGTGTAGGCAAGAAAGCCGGTCAGTGAAAATGGAAATGGAGGCATCAGGGTGTGAGGGACAGGCTGGGGTGGGGGAGGAGGGGGGAGAAGGGGAATGTAGCAATGCAGGTAAAAGTGGAGAGGTACCTGGGGAGTCAGATGTCTGGCAGGTTGTAGTGTGTCATAAACCCAATGTCAATATAGAGTCCATGAGTTTCTGTACCTAGGAGGCTGATGAAGTGAAGTTCATAGGCCCAGCTGTGAAAAGACTTCATAGACAGTAGGGCTGGAAGGGACCTTGGGAGATCATCAAGTCCAGCCCCCTGCCCCAGGGGCAGGAAGTCAGCTGGGGTCAAAGGATCCCAGCAAGATACATGTCCAAATCTCTCTTAAAGGAGTCCAGAGTAGGTGCTTGCACCACCTCTGGTGGCAGTCTGTTCCAGGCCTTGGAGGCTCAGGCAGTAAAGAAATTCTTCCTTATGGCCAGCCTGAAACAGTCTTGGAGGAGTCTGTGACCATTTGAAGTGGTTTGTATATTCCCTTTCAGGGTCAGGCCTGAGAGACTGGAGACAAAGTGTTTTTTTTTTGTGAGAAATGTGACCCCACAGGTAGCTGGGTATTGTTGTCTTTGATAGATTCTGGTGTGCAGTTTGTGGGGGTACTGGAGATTGTTGACAGGTTTTGTTTTGAGCTACAGGAAGTTGGCTTCAGTTCTGGTGATGAGGTTAGGTTACCAAGATTTGGTGCTTGTTTGAATTTACAAACCACTTTTCATAGCCGGGCCTATGAATTTCACTTCATCAGCCTCCTAGGTACAGAAACTCATGGACTCAGTATAGACATTGGGTTTGACACTACAATCTGCTAGACATATGACTCCCTGGGTACCTCTCCACTTTTACCTGTGCTGCTACATCCTGCCTGTCCCTCACCCCCTGATGCCTCCATTTCTATTTTCTCTGACTGGCTTTTTTGCCTGCATTGCGTGCTGGCCTCTGGCTTCTTTACTGTTCCTTCCATCCAGGAAGAACACGCACACACCCCTCTGCATGTGCTTCCGCAGCCTGACAAAGGATTTTTCAACCGGAAAGCTTGCTAAGATATATTTCTGTAACTAACTATTCTGTTGGTCTGCTAAAACATATCAGATTAGATTGACCCAAAGAAAAGGACCTTGTCCAGTGCCATGTCCTTAGACCAACACCCTTAGCATGTGATCAGAAGGACACAGGGCCCTGGGCACATCTAAGCCCCAGGGCTGGGGCTGGCAGGAAAGTTTCTCTGGCAGCTGCTGGAGAAGAAGCTCCTGCAGGAAAGGAAAGAAAGGATCTGTGACAGTTTGGCTGCCTGAGCTGCTGCTGGTGCTACTGTGCTGCTCACTGTGTTATTTATTACCTGTTGTCATTTAAAGTGGTGAACCTGGATGAGTCTGTAGGGGAGGAGGAGACCTCATTGGGACACCCTACCGTGTTGTGTAAAGGCCTCAGCACTAGTGAGGGTGTGCTTTAACACACGTGCAGTATCACCCACGTAACGAGTTTTGCGTAGCAGCAGCTTGAAGTGCAGTTTTCCAGAAATCCCTGCACCTATCTCTTTGAAACTTCGCAGGCTTCCTGGCCTCAGAAGGGGCTACCATCCCTGTAGGTTTCACCCAAATCGGGCAGGAAATGACAAAGTTATAGGCAGTTTCATGCTTCCCCTTTACAGGTTTCCCTTGTTTTACACAGGTTTGATTTATGCAAATTTGCTCTTATGTGATGACCCTTTTGTACCCGAAGTTTGTTATATGCAAGGTAAATTCACATATATACAATTGGCATAGGCTAATCTTACGCAATTGGCATAGGCGTGCTTTGCCCTTCCCCAAGCAGATAAGTCTGAGTTTGTGAGGGGAGGGGAAAGGGCCATGAGCCGTAGCCCCCCGCAGCGTGCCCTCCCAGTGCTGCTACTGAGTGCTGGGAAGAGCCTGGAGCCACTGCTGGCCCAAGCCTGCAGCGGCCACCTGCCCTATCCTGCTCTCATTCGGCTGCAGGTGGCTGCCTGCCCCTGCTGCAGCCCTGGGAGTGGCAGACGCCGCCTTTATGCAGCCATTGGGCTGTGCCGTGCCCCAAACCCCCTGGGGCTCCGCTTACCCCCTGGCACGGCGGAGCCCAGTAGCAGGGGCCCGGCCCTGAAGTGGAGAGGAGTGGCATGAGTGGGGCTGTCATCCACCCTGAGTGCCACGAGGAGCCTGGTGCTACCCCTGCTGTAGCTCCGGGAACAGCAGATACCGCCTGCTTACAGCTACTGGGGTACACCCCGCTGCACCCCTCTTCCCTAGCCCCAGCCCCACTCCCTCCCTCCCTCACTGCCCTGGGAATGCATCCCTATCTGTTTAATTGTAAACTGGGTTTGCTTTATGCAAATTTGATTTATGCGCCGTTCCCTGTATCTACTGCATAAATGGAGGGGAACCTGTATAGCCTATGGGCGAAACAGCGAAACAATTTAAACAAAATGGAACAACAGTTTTGAAATTAAATGAAACTTGAAATGAAACGCTGTCCCATCAAAACAGAACAGTACTGTTTTGCACAGACCTGTTGCTCAGCATACAGATATCTGGCTGTTAACTTGTACAAAAATGGCCTTTAAAAACATGCATTTCCCCTGGTTGTGCCTAATTTAAAGCATGGATGAAGCCTACATTTTAAAAACAAAAATCCCAAGGGAATGCAGTAGCTAATACATGTATTAATGATTTTCAGTTTAAAAGATGAGTCGGAAGAGAGAAATAAACATGAGATTAAAAGAACACCACAGGAAACAATATTTTTTTTCTTTCAAATGCTATTTGCACTGGTTGGTTAGTCACATTATAGATACCTGTCCTGAGAATAAGTTTATGGTTATGTCACATTTATTTGAGCTACATCCTGGAATACTTTGAAAATGAAAGTTTCTGTCATAGGAAAATGAGTTTATTTTTTTCAGTGGGAATTAGTGGTCTGAGAAAGGGGTGAGATGTAATGATGATTTCATATCCTTTCTTATACCTCTGAAAGTTCCTTGTGGACATATTTTTAGAAGATTCATTCACTACAGATCAAAAAGGTGATGAACCAAGTCATCTATTTACACACTTATGGCTGAGTCAGTTTTTTAAGGTAGTGCTTCTGTTATTTTCCAGCAAGAAATAACACTGCAATAATGATAAACACTACTTACTTTGATTTTTTAGTGTCTAGTGCCAAACTGAAAAGGAAAAAGAACTGGTTTGGAACAGCTATTTACACAGAATTAGCTGCAGATGGAGAAATCAGGAAAACAGCAAAATCAAGTAGTTCTTCAAATCCAAAATGGGATGAACAGTTGACTGTGTAAGTATTTAATAGAGGTAGAAACATATTTTTAATCAAACAGTAGATGAAAATATTTACAAAACTCTGCCGTTCGGTTGCATATGTATAGTTTCCCTTAACTGTTGAGAGCTTCATGCATCTGATGGCAACTTTTGCCTTCAAATGAGTAAACTTGTCCAATGCATATGTGAATCATCTCAGCAAGCTTATTCTTAAGCAGTGGAGGAGTGTTCTGTATACATTGGTGATGTATATAATTTGTACATCTCTTTTCATTGTGGACCCTACAAGTTCAGTCCCTGCTGATGTCTTCCGTTGTTTCTCATTGAGGAGGCCTGATCAGAGATGTTATTCATAGAAAGCCATACGCTGGATATGGGGTAGCAGGTGCTTCAGTTGTACTCTTCATGGAGCAAACAAGTTTGTTATACTGACCTTATACTGATCAATAGTACGGGGCCTTAGGATCACAAGGCTAAATTACTGTAATTTTCTCTTAGCTGGGTTTTTAATAGGACTTCTCTGTTACTTACGACTACTTCAGAATGCAGTGGCATGATTGCTCATTATTTTGATCAACTGTGATCTACATCAGTGGTTCTCAACCTGTTTACACTCAAGTCACCCTTCAGAAAATATCAGCTCTTTGCTTTCTCTCATTTCCTGACTCCAAAGAATAATGGAATAATTCTTTTGTTGCAAAGAACTCAAAAACCCCACACCAGCTCAGAATGTTTTTGACACTGACACTAGTGACGGGGCTCAGCCACAGAGGAGACCTTGCTACACATGCAAATTGAAGCTCAATAGCAGTCAGCTATAACACTAGTACACATTTGTGAAGACAAACTTTACAGCTGGTTGGAGCTTTTTATGGCATAAGTATTCTGCTTGTATAGCTGGTTTCAAGATAATTGCATGGTTAACCGGTTAATTGGGTGATGTAGGGGGCCTAATAGTGCTAATATTACATGGCAGCTGGGGCACCCTTAAAAGGTTTTTATTTGGCATCCCATGGGGCTGTGACACTGGTTGATAACCATCCATCTATATTTTCTCCCTCAAATAAACTTAGGTGACTTTTTCTGCACTTTTGGGGAAAAAACTCAAACCAAGCAGAAAAGGCAAGAAAAAAGTGCCTAAAATGCCCTCACCCCACCTCTGCAACTCAAACAAAATGCCATTTTTCAAAATTGTTGCTATTATCACTGCATTTAGTTCTCTAGCTTTACCCTACTTCTGTCTTACCATATATATTAGCTTTGTCGTTTCTGGGGTTTTGTTCAAAGTTTTTAAGGATAGTATTTTTTGTAAATGTCTGTACAGTTTGTATATTGTACCTGTATGCTATCTGTAAATAAAGTTTTATCTTTATTTTAATGTTAGTCATTATATGCTGGTTTAGGACCCTGCTACTTGCAAGGAGTCTAACCAGTTGGTTTCTATATGTTTGCTAATATGATTCAGTGTTTTTTCTAACAATGAAAGCTAAAAATCAACTGTAGTATTTTTTCCTATTGGAAAGTATCATAAGTTTGTATTTATAATTTTAAGTGGTGAGAAAAATAGGAACTTTTTTAAAAAGCAAAACACTAATAGATATTGTGTAATTTAGATCTGACCTTTGGTGTCAGTAGTTTTGATGTTTCTAATTGTTCTCACTGTTAATACACCTTTAACCCTGCACTATTCCCACAATGAAGTATGCTGAATTTTCTAAGGTTTATACCCCTTGAAGCCTTTAAAAATAATTTCAGATATGGAAAAGTTAATTCAGATAGATTATAACTGTATATAATAATGAGAAATTAGTACTTAAATCTGTTTTTAAATTTATATACAGGAATGTGACTCCACAGACTACGCTGGAATTTAAGGTGTGGAGCCATCATACTTTAAAAGCAGATGCTTTATTAGGAAAAGCCACTGTAGACTTGAGACAAGCCTTGGAAATACACAATAGAAAATGTAAGTTTTCATGAAGGATAACTTGATTTAAGTAAAATTATAATTCATATTTTCAAAAACATCTGGACTATCAACATTATTGAACTGGTCAAAAAGTTGTCATTAATTAAAACAGATTTCCAGTTAGTGCATTTTAGTCATTCCTTCGGGATATTTTTCCTTCTTACAGAGAATAATTTAAATTTATGATGTGATATAATCATTAAACAAATATTAGTACTGTATAAGGAGCAGCTACTAAATAAAACATGAAATGGTGAGCTATTTAATAAGGCAAGGTACTCCTTAAGTTTCTTTGTTTTGTTACAAAATGTCCGTCCTTCTGGAGGATCTGTAGTAGACCTTAAAAATAGCCAAAGATTTTTTTTTAAAGGGCTCCTTTCTCATTTTCCATATACCAGGTTCCTTTGTCTTTCATGGAGTCATAACCTAATAGATTAGATTTTCATTTTTGTTACAGTTTTACTGACCTAAATAGAATTAGAACTAAATGATAAATAAGATGATTAACTTTTCCTTTGAGTACATCATTTTTCCCCATAAGGCAGCTTTCCAGGTGCTTGTCGTCTTTGCTAGAAGAATTAATAAGCTTTCAAACCTTCACATCTCTATTTTCTTTTCATTAGTTTATCAGGGCACCAATATAATGAGTCCACACTTCAAATTTCATCCTGTGTTGGGCTTAAAATTCTAGCTGAACTAGTCTCTCCTGATCATTTCTTGCATGTCATACAAGACTTGGGCATTTGTATTTTGGGAAAATGAAAGTTTAAAAAGAATTTCTTGCATCTTTCTGACATAATACAAAAAACAATTCTAACTGGATTTTTTCAGTAGTATTATGGAGATGCCACTGAAAGCTTCAAAATTAAGGCTGATTGTAGTGTGTACTTTAAGTATTGAAAAAATTTTCAGAGAATTTACCAGTTAATTAGATTTAATGAGCAAATAAAATGAATATTTTAAAAGATTCATCAAGAAATGGAACACTAGTTAGCCTTTATTTTTTCCAAATTTACCTTAATAACAAAATAGCATACAGTTGTCAAAGTTCCCATTTAATTTAAACTAATTGAATTCTTGAGCATATGTTTTTGAAAAAATGAAGATGCAGTTAAGTTGAGATTTTTAGAAGTATTTGTATCTGTTTATTATGGTTATAGTTTCATAGTTTCTAGGGTCGGAAGGGACCTTAGCAGATCATCTAGTCCGACCCCCTGCCATGGCAGGAAAGAGTACTGGGGTCAAACGACCCCAGCAAGGTGTTCATCTAACCTCCTGTTAAAAACCGCCAGGGTAGGAGCCTGCACCACCTCTCTTGGAAGTTGGTTCCAGACCCTAGCCGCCCTGACTGTGAAATAGCGCCTCCTGATGTCCAACCTAAACCTACCCTCTGCCAGCTTGTGACCGTTATTCCTGGTCACTCCTGGTGGTGCTTGGGGCAACAGGGACTCCCCCAATGCCTGCTGATCCCCCCCCGACTAGTTTATAACAGGCCACAAGATCCGCCCTCAGCCTTCTCTTTTGGAGGCTGAACAGGTTCAGGTCCCGTAGCCTCTCCTCATAGGGCCTGCCCTGCTGTCCCCTGATCATGCGAGTGGCCCTCCTCTGGACCCTCTCCATGCTGTCCACAAGAGTTATGTTGGGTAACTCTTTGAGGGCGTTACAGGTAACTCAGCCAATATGCGGCTAATGTCCCTTCACCATTTCTGTTGCTTGTAAAAAGTCAGGGGCATGAGAGAGACTGGATGTGTTTCAAGAATTCTCATTAGTAGATAAATTTAAGGTTGTAAGGCTACATGCCAGCATGGATGTTAGCGCTTGAAAAACTACCCATTGCACTGCTGAATTGGCATCACTGAAACAGTAGTACAGGAGAATCCTGTAAGTGAAGAGGCACTGGGATTTGCAAACTGATCCTTCTTGTCCTTCCTTTCATGTAATGCCAGTCTCTAAACCAGGTCTCTAAATAAAAAACAAAACAAAACAAACAGTTGCTATTTGAGGCCAAATTTCACTACTTTGCTTCAGCAATATTGTGCTTCTCTAGTAATGAAAACATACTGTACACTTAATCTTAATTTGACAGTGTGCTTGGAAAGTTTTTGTTGTGCAAGTGGATTGTTGAATCAGTTGTGTTTCTTGAAAATGATTTAAAGCTGATTCTATATCTCTTAACTTAATTAGTAATATTTCATGGTAGCATTCCCTTTGGTTTTCTTGTTCATTGTTCATGTATGAAATTTTTAATAACTGAAAACTAAGGATATTCTATTATAATTTAAAGACAACTGCGTTATCATGCCTTAAAGGCACAACCCTAATTTTGCCTTTAAATGACATCATGGACTTGGAAAAACAGAAACTTACTTTTAATGATGTATCTAATCTAAAACTACAAATGCTAAAATTCCTTGATTTTAATATTACTGCAGAGCACAGTGACAGAAAATAAATAATTAATGCAGTGTCCAACAAACAGCACAGAACTTAATTGAAAGCTGGATATTTTACACATGCCCAAGCAGAGTAGATGGAATCTGCACATTGAGCGATAATACCAAGCAGTGGTTCATAGATTTGGAAATTGATATCTGATGCCGTACGAAAGAGACAGAGAGATCTGCATTTTCCTCATTTCTGCTGTTCTTTGGAAATAATGATTTTTTGCGGAGATTGGCAGAAAAGGGGTACAGTTTCTCTCTGCTTCACTGGCATGTTTGTGCGTAATGCAAGGAACCAATATCTGATTGTACCAATAAAAACTTAGTTTTAGCTTTTTAAATGTATTAGACTTGTAAAACTGGCTTATGATTCCATAACCACATAATGGGAATTTAAAGGTGAAGAAGCTCACTAATAACCTATTTAAAGCACAGGGCCTATATAAATCTAGTAGAATGCACGTTTTATATGCTGTTTAAGGTGAAAACTTATTTTAAATGGATTATAGGATCCTATACCTGTAGCAGGTATAAGCCAGGGATGTAAATACTGATTAAATAAATATTCGTTTAACCTGGTGTAATAACAACAGGTTAAGCGATTAATTGGTTGGGCGCAGGGATGGGGATGGGTGCGGCAGCGCTGGGGGTCTAGCCAGTGGCTTTGTAAAGTTGGGGGGGAATGCAGGGTCCCAGGCCAGCGCCTTCTCTGTCCCACCCTGCCGTGGAGGAGGGACTGTACCCATGTGCTTTACCAGCCGGCTGAAGCTGTTGGCATGCTTCGAGGGAGGGAGCAGGCAACCTCTCCCCACCCCTGTTCTCTTCTCCCTGCCCTCCTCCTCACTCCTTTCTCCCTCTGTGTAGCCTACCTATTAGGTATTAGTCACCCCTCCCCTCTGTCCTCTCCCCTGCTCCTCTCTCCCTCCCTCCTTCCCTTCTGCTCTGCCACCTTCTGTTTCTTTCTGGGGCACCAAAGGGGCTTCCCTTTACCCCCCTCCTTCCCTCCCAGACTGTGCCTAGCCCCAGGCTAAATGATAACTGGTAAGCTAGAACTGGTTATCGCCAAGCTGATTGGTTATATGATTAATCATTTAACTGTTCACATCCCTAGTATAAGCCACCATTATTGTTTTAGATGTATTTTTTTTGCAACAGCTTAGGTTGTGGCCCTGAGTTTCTTTGACAACTGTGCAAGAGGCAAAGATTTCTTAGAGTGATATCTTTGTTTGGACTAACTATGTAGTTGTGATGAAGTTAGACAAGCTTTCGAATGCAAGGCAGATTTTGTCAGAATGTTGAAAACTGCCTTGCCTTTGAAAGCTCATCTAATTGCATGATTTCTAGATCCTCATGGTTGCCGTATCATTCTTGCACTACCTATGACAACTGCGTAATATGTGAATTTAAGCTTCTGTAGCTGAAGCAGTAGAAACCAACAACATACTATAAATGTCTGTCTTTTATTTAAATCCTAACCTTCATCAGTTGTATTCAGTTAGCTGATTCTTCAGAATAGTGATTTTTCAAAATACACTTTTTAAAAATTAGTAAAGCTTAAAGATGTACACAATGAAGAATTGATGCATGTCCATTGTAGTGATTATTAGAAATGAATCTATTGTTCTAGAAAAAAGAAGAGGTCAGGAGGTTGATGATTTGTACTGAAGTGCCTAGAACTTATGCAAGGGTGTGTATATATGTGTGTGTACATGTATATATATTTTAGTTGTATGACATTATATATTTAGTATTTTTTGTGTTAAACACCCTGCATGCTGACTTTACTCTCTTTCCCCCCTTTAGTGGAAAGAGTGAAAGTATTATTGAAACTGTCTTTGGAAAACAAGAGTGGCCTGGTGCAAACAGGTGAACTAACAGTTGTGCTTGATGGTTTGGCAGTTGAAGAAGAATCTTTTACAAACTGCAGTTCAGCGGCAACCAGTAAGTTCAATTAGTAAAATAAAAGCTACATGTTCTTACTAAACTTTTTAAAAGGAAAAAAATCTACTTAATTTATTCTTAATGTTCAGTAGAAGTCCAACAAAATGGTGATGCTGTTCATGAAACCAGAGAAACTTCAGGAAGAACTACATCCAGGTTAGAATTAGTTTTTATTTTTGTATTACAAATATTAGTAGTATATAGTCAACTATTTCACTTAAAATGCACAATAATACTTTAGTTTTGCACTGAAGATTGGGGTTTTATCATTAAATCTTATTTTAGACCAGGGATAGGCAATGTTTTTTGGCTGGAGTGCTGAAAAACACTACAATGCCTACCTCGGAAGGTGCCGGAGTGCTGGCATGGCAGAAAAACAAAATGAGGGCAAGAGGTACATGGCAGGATGCTTTGCTTGTGCCCCTTGCCCCCCACCCAAAGCCCTTGCCCCCCAGCCTGGGCTCTGTAGCTGCCAGCAGCTTCCCCAGCTCTAAGTAGCTGCTGGAGCCTGGTCTGCTCCCAGCTGGACTTGCAGCATCCCAGTTGCCTGCTGCGAGCAGCCCGGGCTCCCGGCTGGCAGCAGGTCCCCAGAGCCGGGAGGCTCCAAACAGCTCTGCCAGGCTCCAGCATCAGCTCTGTACTGGCTTGTGCACCCGTGCATCAGAGCGGGCGGTGAGGGAGGGGCCTGAGGCACTGCAGCCCCAGTTTCTCCCCCGCTCCTGGCATGGAGGTGATGGCAGGCTTCCGGAGCTCAGCACAGCTGTTTGTAGCTCTGGGCAGCTGCAGCAAGCAGTGGCCAGGTTGCAAACAGCTGTGCTGGGCTCTACAGCTCCGGCATCAGCTCCGTGCTGGCGGCGACTGCATGCGCACCTCGGGGTGGGCTGCGCTGTTCTGCTGTCCACCCCAACGTGCCCGTGCAGTTGCCTCCAGCACGGAGCTGATGCCAGAGCTGTAGAGCCTGGCGCAGCTGTTTGCAGTCTGCCCGCTGCTTGCTGCAGCTGCTCAGAGCCCGGGCTGGCTACAAATAGCTGCGCTGAGCTCCAGAAGCCTGCTATCGCCTCCGTGCTGGAAGCAGGGGAGAGACCAGGGCTGCAATGCCTCAGGCCCCTCCCTCACCATCCGCTCCGATGCGTGGGTGCACAAACCGGTGCGAAGCTGATGCTGGAGCCCAGCACAGCTGTTTGGAGCAAGCCCTGCTGGGAGCAGCCCAGACTCTGTCGCTGGCAGCAGCTACCCAGAGGCGGCGCTGGCCGTGGCATGCCAAGCAAAATGGCTTTGCGTGCCATTCTCGGCACGCATGCCAGGGGTTGCCGACCCCTGTTTTAGACTATGGTCGCATTGACTGTGTGGAGATTGTTTGAGCAGAATTTGCAGATTGCAGATTTTGGCTTACTAGAATGTAGTTAAAGAAGTAATGCTGTTATACCAATAGGCATCTAGTGATGTAAACATGTAAATGAATAACTTGATTCATGTGGGTAGTTGAATTCGGATGGATTTCTTGTGAGTTATACTACTGTTCTTATACCAGTAGGGCTTGAGCTTTGAACTCCAGAAAGGTGGTCTGACCCATGGAGATGGTTCAGCCAGAGAGCTAAATTAACTAAGTCCACTCAGCCTTGAAATCTCTAACATGTTGTGGTGGACTTTAGACAAACAGCTGTGAATGTGGGAGTACTTAGCCCATTCCGCTTCCTCCCACCTTCTGAGCTATGTTCAGTATCATCCATTTCCTTTGATCTGCTGGTAGAAGAGAGGAAAGAAGAAAAGGACCCTGTATGTCTCCTTTCCTTCCAAGTTCTCTCCAGATATGTTCCAGTTTGTATTAAAGTCAGTTAACGTGGGGTCATTGCCACAGGAGGTTGTAGAGGCTGATAGTATAGCCAGGTTCAAAAAGAGACTAGACATATTCATGGATGATAGCTCTATTAATAGCTAGGAAACAGAACAGGTGGAGATGTTTTCTCTGGCATCTCTAAACCAATGATAGCAAATGCCAGGGAGGGTAATGGATAAGGGATAAGTTACTCTAAATATACCTGGTTCTGTCCTCTCCCTCTAAAGCATCCACTCTTGCCACAGTCAGTGACAGGATACTGGGCTAGATGGATCACTGATCTGACTCAGTATGGCACTCCTTATGTTCTTATGATCAGGGCCTCAGAACAAAGAACTTGCACAAGCTGGAGTAGCAAGGAAGGGGTTTGAGACCTGTTCATAGAGAGCAATAGGCTCAAGCCTTCTATGTAGCAGATCAAAGAGCTCCCAGGAAACTATAAACAAGCCAAACTTGGCTCTCAGTGGTGGGAAGCTTCGGTACTTGGACCAGTGATTTTCAGCATGTTCATCAACGATTTGGATTTGGGTATTAAAAGCAAGCTAGCAAAGTTTGCTGATGACACCAAACTATGGGGGAATGTGGTCACACTCGAAGACAGGATGACAATATAGGCCAACCTGGACAGGCTCGTGAGGTGGGCAGACCTCAACCAGATGTTGTTTAATACAGAGAAATGTAAAATGGTCCATTTGGGGAGAAATAATCCACAACACATTTACAGGTTCAGCAGTGCTACATTTACTAGCACCACATCTGAACTATCTGCTATCTGTTGTGATAGCAAAATGAACACGAGCCACCAATATCATGCCATAGCTGGCAGAGCTAATCAAACACTGGCATGCATCTGCCGAGGCATCTCGAGCAAGGTTAAGGATGTCATCCTCCCCCTCTACTCTGCCTTAGTGAAACCATAGCTGGAGTTCTGCATCCAGTTCTGGGCTCTGCACTTCAGGGAGGATTTTGGAGACGCTTGAGAGAGTCCAAAGGAGGGCCACGTGCATGATTAGAGGCCTGGAGACCAGGTCGTACGAGGAGAGGTTGAAAGACTTGGGACTGTTCAGCCTGGAGAAGAGAAGACTCAGAGGGGACTTGGTGGCAGCCTAAAAGTATATCAAGGGCATACATCAGGGCCTAGAGGAGCATCTGTTCATCAAGGCTCCCTTGGGGTGGACTGATTGAGGATCACTTCAGGCTAGACATAAGGCAAAACTTCTTTACAAATCGAGTGCCGAGGGTTTGGAACAGGCTCCCCTCAGCGGTGTTATAGTCATACACTCTGGCGATCTTCAAAAAGCTTCTTGACACCTGTCTTGCTGGGGTCACGTGATCCCAGCAGTTTTTCCTGCCCAAGTGCAGGGGGGCTGAACCCGATGATCTGTAAGGTTCCTTCCAGTCCCTAACAACTATGAAACGATGAGTTCAATGCTCCACCCAGCTTTACTGCTACTGGCCTGTTCAGCAACTACTGCATTTTTGGCATGTGTGGCTTTGTAACTCCTAGCTGTTCTCCCCAAAGCAGGAGCTAAGGTAGTTTTGGTGGACTATGACAGACAAACCAGCCTGCATCATTGTGTTGTAATGTCAGTTTGGGAAAACTGTAAGTGGATATGGATTTCATAATTTATATTATGATAAACATCAGGATTCAAATTTCAAAAAATAAGTAATTAGTTTAGTTTTGCCTATATGAACTCTTGTCTAAATCTAATAACAGAATAATGTTAAAACCCTTTGCTCTGAAATTATTTGTATGTGTTTATCGGGTCCTTTAAGACACTTCTGTGCAGGGATTTTGCTCTAGTTATATAGCTCTATGCTTAATGTATGATATGAGTTAATCTATATACTTTTTTATTAAGATCTACCTGTGATGTTACTAATGAGACAGACAATCAAACATCTTCAAACTCTGTAGTAGAGAATGCATTCTGTATGCATACTGTTAATGGAGACAGCACATCATCTCCTTCTCATGTTGCCAGACCCAAAACTACCCCAAAACCACTTACAACCCAGCCTACCAACAACACTGGTAAGAATGGAAATGTTATCAAACATTGTTTGAGAGGACTTTTCTATCTTGTTAAAATTAAGTAAACTATCAGGAACTGCTGTCTGCCTTTTTCTACACATTTCGAGTTGTGTAATGTAAATCTTCACTCCCTTGTGTTATGAGGAGCACATCTGTTTGAAGCTCATTAGTTTACTTGTTTTCTCTATCTAACATATACTTAATAAGAAAATATAAAGCCTCTGTTTCTGAAACAGATCACTGAATTGTAACAGTGATTGTCTAAAGCAGTGGTCTCCAAACTTTTTTGATCGCACACCCCTATCAGTAAAAAATTTTTGAGCATGCACCCCCAATATATGTATATTTATATTTGCGCACCCCTATCAGTAAAACATTTTTGAGCACGCACCCCCAATATATGTATATTTATATAAATCTATACATATAAATAGAAGTTCTGATATTTTCTTCCTGCACCCCAATGGATTGTCTTGCGCCCCCCCCCCCCCAACTTTGGAGACCTCTGGTCTAGAGGGTAGACTGACTTCCTTTACTGGCTCGTTTCATAAAGGTTTTTCTTGTGGGATTGAAAAGCAATAGGTAGATTTCCTGAATGCAAAGAAATGGAAGAGCTCTTTCAGCTCTATGTTAGAAAGTACTTCTTGCAGAGGAAAAAGTAATGATAAAAGAAGCATATGTTTGAGATCTTAATTTCTCTAACTTAATTTCTTGTCAGCCATAGGGGTTTTTGCCATTATACAGATCTGCTGGGGTCAGTTAACTTCTTTTTCTTCCCATGTGTAAGATCCATTTTCCTTTCTTCCCCCTCCCCTCCAAAAAATGGAAGCCTAAAATTAAGACATCTATAAATTGAAATTATGTAATAAAAATAATTGAATTCATTATAATAAGATATCATAAATGTTTAAATCAGATTTATGTTAACTTTTTGTAGAAAAAGTTTTATCCTCTTCTGGGATACATCTTTTACTCTGGACAGTATGATATGTACTATAGGCTGAAATGTGTTGCAGAACATTTTAGCCTGTTTTCATTTCAAGAAATCAGCCATTTAAAAATGATGAAGCCCCTTTAAAAACTTAACTTCTATTTAGAAATCTTGTACTGTTGATTGTTATAAGGTTTAATATAGCTGAAAAACATTGAAGAAAAATATATTTTCTGAGAACAGAAAAACCCTCATTTTTTTCAAAAGAACTAGAGGAATAGGAGGAGATGAACAGATAGATCTCTGGAACAGATCAGAAAGTCAGTTTAAAAGATTTTTATCTTTTTAAGTTGTATATAATTTCGTTTGCTTCTTGGCACTATTATAACTAAAAGAAGTCACAGTAAACCATTTCTTGGATAGGAAGCCTCCAAAAGACTTAGTTGTTGCAGGAAATGGTGATGCAGGATGGTGTCTATTGACCCAGTGCAGAAGGAGAAAATATTATGCTGATGGAGGCTGTGTTTTATGTCCAAAACATCGAATACACCCCTGCCACACCTTAGTAAGCGTGAGTAGTGCTGCTCTTGGCCCAGCTTTAAAAGGGAGATTCTCACATACACAGTCTCCTTTGCAGACCCCTATTGCTCCAGAAAGTAAATATTCTGTGCCCTGTACCCTATACAGCATACAGGCCCCTTTGTGCCAATGTAGGTATGCGGTTAGGGCAGTGACTTTGTACTGAGAGAAGTGTGCTGCAAAAAAGTGTGTGTGTGTGTGTGTGTGTGTGTGTGTGTGTGTGTGTGTGTGTGTGTGTGTGTGGTATTTTAAGCTGGGCCAATGTGTGTGTGCAGAGCAGGACACAGCAGGGTGTAGTGTGACTGTGTTCCCAGGATGCAGGCAGGGCATGGCACTGGCAGTTTACAGATGTCTGGTCCCAGCACAGTTCATCAGTGGTTGGAAGCAGGGGGCCAGGAGAAGCAGTGGTAGCGCTGAGGCTAGACATCTGCAAACTTCTGCTGCCGAGCCCTGCTTGCAATCTGGGGACATGGCTGTACTGCATACCTGGGCATTGAGCGCTTCACTCTACTGCAGTCTGTACTCATGTCTCTCCACCTGCTGGGCAGGGTAGGTGTGGGTCCCTTTCTCTTCTCCCCTCCATTTCCCGGTCCAGCTAATCATGGGCAGTTAGGAGCCCTTTCACCCAGCCCCTGCCTCTGCCACACTGAGCTCTGGGGAGACTGCCAAAGAGTGTCCCTGCACCTCCCTCACTGTGACAGCTGGGACTACTGCATGGCTTTCCTGGGCAGCATAAAGTTTGTTTACAAGCCCTTTCTTTGTTCACATAGCAGAATGACTCCATGCATCCTGGTGGAGAGGCTGCTGCCCCAGTTCAGCCTGAAACTATCTCCCCAAGGACGGCTTTCCCCGCACCTTCCCTGCTGTCACTTCTCCCAGCCTCCTGCTCCTTGGCTGCCATGCGGGCACAGCTTTGGGGAGGTGCGCCAGGATCGGACATCTGCAAACTGCACTTGCACTGCTGCTACTGCTTTTCCCACTCCTTTTTCTGCATGTAAGAGTGAAATGTGCCACCAATTTGAATCCAGAAAAAAAAGTGTGCTCTAGGTATCAGAAGTTTGGGAAACACTGCATTAGTAACAGGCAGCCCCTGCTTAGTGCTCTTAATTGGTTCCGGAAAAAGCGAGCACTAAGCAAAACTGCATTAAGCGAAACTTATTTTCCCATAGGGTTTAATATAAATAAATAAAATTGGTTCCTGTGCTCCTGCCGCTCCTGGCAAGGCACTGCATGGGCTCTGCCAGGGAAGGCATCGGCTCCTCTCGGCTTCATTGTTCCGCAGCCGTGATGGTCCTTACGAGCCTGCACCCACTGGCCACTGGTGCACCTGTGTGCAGCCCCAACCACCCTGCCTGCGGGGACCTGCCTGCCCAAGGATTAACAGCAAGAAGGCAGGGATTAACGGTGAGCAGTGGGGCTCTGGCTGGTGAGTGCGTGACCAGAGCAGGTCATGGGCTTCAGCCCAGGGACCAGGGGGCTCTGCGGGCTTGGCTTCACTGTGGGCTGGGGCAGGGGACACTGCACACGTGTCCTTGAGCACTGGCTCGCACCGGCCCAGGCCCTGCATTCCTGCCAGCCTTGGCCGTGGGCTCCATGCTCCTGCTGTCCAGCCAGCTCTGGTTTTGGGCGCCAGCCCAGACCCTATGCTCACGCCCCTCGCCGCCACCGCTACTCTTCCCCGCCCACTGGCTGCTCCAGCACCATGTGCCAGAGTGGACCCCGGGCTCCTGCCACCCCACCCTGGGCCCCACCAGCCGTGCTTACGCTGCCTGGCCCCTCTGCCCGCCCCATCTCACCACTGCTTCTCCCCGCCCACTCCAGCACCATGTGCTGGGGCGGACCCTGGGCTTCTGCCACCCCACACTGGGCCCCACTGGCTGCCACTCACCGCTTCACTCCGCTGCTACCATCGCTGGTGTCGCCACTGTTTCTCCCTACCTGCTGTGCTGAGCGTTATAATGAAACTGCTGAGCGCTAAGTGAAACCAGGTAGGTATTTTTAATGAGCGCTATTAGCAAAACCGCAGTAAGCAAAACCGCATTAAACGGGGGTTGCCTGTATTGAAAAGGTTGTAGCCCCGTCTTTATCTTCTTGAATGAGAGTAAGTTGTGGCTGTGCAAAACATGCTATTTCCTGTGTGCTAAAAGAGGTGATAGCAAGGTGTTCCTAAAACAACCCATACCATTCATGCTTATGTTTTATATGTGGACCAGCAATGACTCCTTTTACAGATTAACTCATGGATCCATATGTTTTTCTCCTTATGAAATGCGTATGCATCAAATATAATACTTGTTAAATAATTCTGCTCTTTTCCATTTTTCTGGCCTATATTTTTACTGTTATTGGGGGTTGGGCTAGGGAGTAAATTTTGACTAACGCATTAAAAACAAATAGATGCACAGAACTAAGGTAAATTCTGACAAAAGGAGATATTCTGTTAAGATTTTGTCCAGTGGTTTCTTGTTTGATATGAGGGTAGTTTTGAAAACAACTTTTCAACTTACATGCTTTACAAAGTCTGCTTGTGCCTGGCAGCTTGCTTTTGCTGAACTAAATTATTTTCTTTTATCTTGTGTCATTGCTCTTCTTTAGTAAGTACAAAAAAACCCCCAAACGTGTAAGTTAAGAATTAAGAAATTATGGAATTCATTCTACTGCAGTAGTAAGAGTTCACCTTTTAAATATACTCCACAGTACTAATCAATTTGCATAAGACATTTTTAGTAGGTTATGCTTCTTAATTGGGATGATGTGTTAATGTAGCTGTTACATAAAGACATATAGGCATATGTTTTATAGTTCTAACAGCATTTTCAAAGTACATTTATTAAACTAAGGTGTTAGTTAACTATTATATATTTTAAAGGGCTTGTTGTTGCTCTATACTTGATCCAGAAAGTTTGCTATTTTCTGCAACTTTTAAATAGATGATATTTGTTTAATTATCTCTTTTATAAATATGTATAAGTCCATATATTTGCAACAAAGCCTATATAATGAGGCCTGAAAGGGGTCAAAGTGGAGATAAAGGCTGCTAAGAACTGTACCTTTTTATTTTCATCCATCTGTTATTCTTTATTTGAAATTACCTTGCCATATCATGCTGATCTCTTTTGAAATCAATGCCATTTAGAATTTTAAAGAACAAATGCTGTTGTACTTTACTTTGGAGACTGGAAGCAAGGTGCCATCTTCTGCTTGTTTGCAGACTACATCCTAATATTGCATTAAACAAAAACCCATGAAACTTAAATGTAACTTTTTCAGACCTCACTAATAAAGAAAGCACAATTTGTTTGTGTAGTTTAAGTTATCTGATAATTGAAATGGATTTGTTACTAGCTAACGGCCTATAATTTATGTAGTTAAAGTACAGTTTTAACTGCAGAAGCTGCCTCGTGTCATTTTACATGAGTCTTCCTCAGCATGAAATATAGCTTCTTAGACAAGAGGGTGTAACTTTCAGAACTATTTATTTCTGGAATTCAGTTCATTTCCTATGTTTCTCATTTAAAAGATGCTTCAGACTGCTGTCTTACATATAAAATGTTCTTTCTTTTTCATTCCCAGTTAATGGTGAGTCCTTGTCTGTACCAGAAGCTGATGATTCTTCTGCCTCTGAGGCTTTTACAGGTTCTGTAGAAGCCTCCACATCAACAGATTGCACTAACACTACTCCAGAAACTTTATCAACAACAGAAGCAACTAGTTATTCAGAAAACAACATGTCTACGACAATCTCCACTGTCTCTGTTGGACTTGAAACTGTAACTACCACAGACTCTGTATCCTCAACTGCCAGAAGCAGTACAGCTACAGAAGCGGCAAAACCAAGGGAGTCCTCTTCAGGTGCATCTGTCGAATCTGTAAGACAACAGCCTGGTAATGCCAGTACTGAACCTTTGCCACCAGGGTATGTGGGCTTGGTTTTAATTAATAATATGATCTAAGAGAATCAGACCTGAATATGATTATATATAGACATGGAGATGTTATTACAGACTTGGATTGCCAAATGGAATCCCATTGGCTGAGACATGGTTATTTGATCTAAAATAGTTTTGCACTATGCTGCCCTAACTGGCCAGTAGCTTTTGGTACCAGACACTAATAACTAGTTTCTTGTTTACTGACACAGTAATATGTTCTAAGCAGCTTGGGGGGCACTTCTAGACAAAAGAAGTGTTCATTTGATGTATTTACACTCATTTCATACCTAGAAGCAGTATAGTGATCCTTGTTCTTTTCTGGGTTTTTTTGTTAGCCATATTTTAGGACTCAAAAATAGTGAAGAGAAAGTGTAGAAAAAATATGCTGAAAATACTCCTGGCAGATATAGGGACAACAGAAGTGATGTACCCAACAAATTTCTGGATTAAAGTATATGTAAAGGAGAGAAAATGTAAATCTTCTGTGTTATGCAATGTGCTCGAAGCTACTGTGTTAATGCTGAACTTCTGTTAACTGACAGAATTGAGATTTGCTTATCAAAACTGCAGGACATTTTTAAGAATATATTAGTATACTGGCTGAAATTTCTAATAGTTTTAGAAACCTGTGGTACCTTGAGTAGAAAAAGTGATTTTGCTTGCAGTGACTTCTTCTCGAAACAAAAAAATGTATACAAGTCATTTTTTTCTATCTGCAGAGAAATTGATACTTAATAAGAAAATACTTTCTTTAGCAACCCACTGGATTCTTTTCTAAGGCAATATCTTAGCAATATGGCTGATTTTCATAAAAACATACCTCTGAAACAAGGGGTGGTGGAGACGCATGCAATACACTTAAGTTTTAATTCCTGCTTGATTTTTTTTCTTTAGGGTTGCCTAAATAGGACTCTAGAATAGTGAAAATGTTTTCTTTTAGGACCAAAGCTGTTAGTGCTCATAATTAGCTGACTCTTTATTTCTCTCTGGTTAAAAAGCAGCCCTGAGAATGAGAGCTCTTTATAGGTAAGAATCCATGTTTTCACTACTCAAGGAAGCTAATAAACACTTTCCTTTGGGGGAAAAAAACTGTTTCTGGGCATATTACTTGTGAAGGACAATGGCAGTACTTGTGAAGGACAATGGCAGTCAGTTTTTAGCTTTTTCTCCTACTCTATCTGTAAGTAGTTCCCAACATATTTCCCTTGTTCTTCTGTATTCTTCTTTCTGAGATGAATAATCCTTGACTGAAAGGAGAATCCAGCCTAATAAAGTTTTTAAGTCTTAGAATTTCTTTTCTTTGGATCTGATTTGCATGTGTGCTATGCTGTGTGTGAGTAGGCAAACAGAGGGAACAGGTAATAGCATGGAGTTAGTGCCAGTTTAAATACAAGTTTCCTTGCATTTCCCTAATCATCTTCAAAATTGTAGTATAATTTTAAAGTTATTTACTTCACCTGCAAGGCTACAACAATTTATCAGTACTTCCAGCTGAAGTAGGGTTGACAGGTCAGTACTTGGGTAAAAGACTATGTGCTAGATGCTGTAGGAAATGAAGCTGATGATTCAGAAATCCCACTTTCATGAGGCTATGGTAAACCTTCAGAGCACTTAAGTGCTGCAGGTACTATCCTTTTGGGTGAAATATAAGACTAAGATTTTGACGACAAGTGTTCTTAAAGAATATGAACAGAATGCTTAGATATTGCAAGCAGATTCCTGGGCTTAGAACCATCTTTCCCTCCTATATACCAAATTTGGAAGGGGACCCCAAAAAACTGTGGGTGGGTTGGCAGTCTTTTCTGTTGTAATATCAATGTATGGCATGAAAAATATGGAAAACTATTACTATAGCATAATATTTAAAGGTGTAAAGGTTCTGACTTGGATGTTTACTTTCAGCTTGTTTATTTGAGTTCACTTTCTCTGCTTAATTGTTGTGTATGGTGCTGAACAATGGTTATCCCAAAAGTGATTTTATTTTAAAGAATGAAGAAATCTCTGCATAGTTTCTGCATAAGTTTATAAAGGTTTTTAAAGACATTTTCTGGGATGAAAAGTATAAATAGATGCAAAGTATATTATAGGAATAAATAAAATGTATAATAGACTTCTTTATCTTAGTTTAATACAAATAATGTTATATTTCTGATGGAGATTTGACTTTAGGGAGATTGACCAGGACACTGATCACTCTTACTATTCTAGCAGTCCAAATGATTCTTTTTTCTCTATGAAAGCATGAGGACTTTAGTGTATTTCTGATTCATTGACCTCAAAGCTTTGTGTTCAGTGGAATGGGGACCAACTGTAGCCACTGCTTCAAAATGATTTCTGTAATGGCTTTGTAGTGGTTTACACTCACAGGGAGTGAGAGATTGCAGAGGGATCTGGATAGGTTACAGGGGTGGGCTAACAGGAACAGGATGCGTTTCAATACGGACAAGTGCAGGGTGCTGCACTTGGGCAGCAGGAACCAGCAGCACACTTACACAATGGGGAACTCCCTACT